ATATCGCTCGTCCGGGTCTGGCTTATTGTGAGGGATTCTCCAAAACGCCGGTCTCTGCATTGTCTGTGTCTGCCGCCCCAAACTTCACAATAGGGAACTCTGTGGGATCTTGAACTTGATTCAATGCTGAACTTACGTGGGCTTGTGAAATTCTGAAAGTCGTTGGATAGCTGAAGGAGTGGGGGGAAGGGAGACAGTTTTCTGGGGGTCATACTATGTTTAGCATGGCTACGGCCAATACAACCGACTCTTAAGCATCCTTTTTTAAACACAACTTAATGACAATTTGTAGAGAATATTTGTATTCTCAAGTCCTCTACAGCAGATGGCAGTGACAGGCTTCATGTCTAGTATACTGCCCATTTAACGGTTTGAGGCATCAAATTCATCAACATACTAAAAATGCAATTCCTACCTCGCAGAAAACACACTGCGTCTCCATAACAAATATCAAACATTTAATTCCGTTTAAGGAAATAATCGCTGCTTATTATGACAATAACACGAAACACATAAATTGCAGTGGGGGCAACATTCAAAGCTTCTGAATGTTCCAACATGTGGTACATATAATTACCACTGTGCTTTAGAGGGCTAATGTAGTACAATGGTTGATCTTTGCATTAAATAAACAACAGAACACAAAAAATCCTCAAATTATTTTTTGTACATATTTCACTCAACAAGTTTAGTGGCAATGACCGAGGAAGTGGACACTGCCTCTCGCAATTCTTTTCAAGGGGAAGAGAGGGTTACAAAGTGTGCTCACAAATTTCAGTTTACGTAGCTTACAAATATTTTATGGGTCTCTATATGGAAATATAGATGCCACATTTAAATATAATTTTTGCTATTTCCTTTCTATATTAAAATAAAAAGGAAATATACCAGATATTAATATGTATAATGCAAATCATTGCTCTGTCTGGAATAGGCAAGGGCAATCAACGGGAACAGTCTTAAATGGCTCGAATGAAAGTTTGTGAGCTGGCTGTCCCCTCGCTCCCAAAACAGAAATCTCGGAGGTGCCAATGCTCTCAGACATGATTTAATGTACCGGTCCAAAGAGAGCTGAGAGTACAGAATGTAAACAGTTCTTCTTTCTTTAGGCCATGTTCCTTTATACCTACAGGGTACGTATCTAGCCATTCGTTATGTGCTGGTCCACACCCTGTTCTTTGCATGGTAGCACTGTCTGAAACCTTAAGCAGCTGATGTGACCTCAGTCTGAGTTAGCGAGCTCTGGAGTGTCTCCTGTATTCTGGCACAACTTCAATATCACGTAGCCCACTGAAGATACTTCAAACCACTATCGAAACAAAATGCATAGAGAACAGAGCAGTTACTTCTGACTAAAGCAGAAACTTCTTAGCAAAAATTACGTGAATGGGCAGAGTTTGATTCCCTGCATGAGCAGGAACTGTTCTCTCCACTGCCATGCCCTGACTGACTGTGGGGTTTACCCAGTCTGCTAGCCCAAGATTAATGCTGTTCTCTGTGTACGGTAAGTCAACCAGAGTATCCGCTGACCCCAACCTCCATCTGGTGCTGACAGTAATGCACAGACCTTTACCTCCAGCCCACAACACGATTTCATGTGTCAGTGGTTACACATTGGAGCAACTCTACCTTTTATGATATGGGGTGACTGTTTCTATTAGCGCTTGTTACACCAAACATTACAGCCTTTACTTCATTATTGTGACTGATAATTAAAAACTTGTAATACACATAGCTTCTTTCCATTTCATTTGTAAAAAAATACTTACATGATTGTATCATAAAATATAAAACATTCAAATATTTGACTTACATCAGATAAAAGGAGTAATCGCATTTTGAACACAATGACACAGTAAAATGAGAGTCCTTTGGGCTTTGTACACACAGTGCTGCACTTAAAATCTCCATATCTAAGCACAGTTAAACAAAGGGAAAGCTATTACATCACAGAGGACTACAAGATATGGAACATGTAACTGAAAGATTTACATACATGAAACATAATTACTGTTGAATTCACTATTGCATCAGCAAGGCCAGATTAGCCTTCCCCAGTGGGAACTTCCCAACTTTCATACACTAGGTATATCTAAAGTCAATTTTCATTTCAATCTCCCCATCTGAACACCTTGAGAGCCTGGGCCCCTTACCACCTGACTCCAGCAACACACACACTGGTACACGGAGCCACGCTGTCTCTACCCTAATGTTCTCTGATTTGAAAATGAACACAAAATGACGAAAAACTAACAAAGCTGGGCCCTTAAACAACACACAACAAATGGTGCATACTCGTACATTGTAGGTTAGGTTTCATAACCGTAAAGCGTTCTGGACTATTAGAAAACTGTGTATTACTGTAATCAGTAAAACTGGAGTTCCAATGTGGGAAAATCAATTAGCTTTAGTAATTCCAAGCCAAAAAAAAGTGAAATATCATAAATGAAAAAGTTTCTCAAATTTTACAGTATTCAATAACAGGGTATGTTCTGCCCTAGGACCCTACAAATAAAAGATTCGTGGTTTTACTAGGGTGAAATTTCATGAAGCAAAGGGCATCTTCTAGCATAATCTACTTAGAGAACAAACTTAAAGGAAACAACAAACTTCCAGTACTGACAATTATGAGGCAAAAAATTCAAAACATTTTCCGTACACATGTACTAGATGTCACATGTCTGGCAGCTGCAGGAGGTGATTTCCAATTCCTCTTGTAACAAGCAGTAAATTATACCACAATACATAATGCTTATGTGGATATTAAGATCTAATTGCAACCTAATGGCATCCTGTCACTGAGATTTCATGGTAAACAGGACACAGCAGATTATGGAACAGTCAGATATAACTCCTCTGTGACAATGAAAGTGCAAGAGAGGATCATACCAAACTCAGTTCTCACGTGGAAAGAAAAATAGTATCTCCTGTCACGGAACACCTCTGAAGGTACAATATTCCTTGCATAGGATATCTTATAGAAGAAAATTTGTCTTCATCCAGACCTCTGACATGGTGAGCCTAGTTCCCATTGTATTTCAACATATTGTCATGTGTATGGAGCAACTATAGATGGGTTTAGGTTCACGACTGCATTTACTGGACTCTCTGATACAGTGTGGCTACACTTTTCAACTGACTATTACACACACACACACACGCCAGCATGGATGTTCCCTTTCCTCTGGGTTCCTGAAATATACCTGGCCTTTCAGCTACCAGCTTCTAACAGAAACACCTCACAATGACTGTACCCCAGTAGTCCCCTCACTCACTCACCAACCAGCTACTCTTCACTTCCTTCACCAATTGACTGAACTCCTCACTAACTGCCACACTTATAATATCCTAACATAAACCACACAGAAAACAAAGTTCTTCTGTTGCCGTTCAGAGGCCGTTGCCTAGTAACGACCGTTGTCTAGTTGTCTAGCAACTGGTCTACATGCCACATTGCTTCCTCCTTAAGGAAATTCATCCCAAATAGCCTACAAGCATACAGCCATTTCTTCTCTTCTGAGAGTTGTGCCTGTTATGTCTGTGATCAGTCTTACGAGTACATCCTTGCCTCTGGCTCATTTCCTGCAGCGATTACTCTCCAACTGCTCCTGTTGCTCTCCCCTTAAGACCATTTCCCTCATAAGGTGCCAGTTGGTCCAGGCGTGCATCACTATCAGTCTTCTTTTCCATTTGGGTCGGTGCCATGTCCTCCACAACATCCACTCACTCATTTTCCACAGCCCAATGGAAAATTAGACCGCTCACTTTTCGATATCCAGCTCTACTGTCTTCCCTGAAGGTCCTGCCAGATGTCCTCTCCTTCCTCAGAAGTAGCTACCATCTTGGGCCTCAGCCCTTTATTCCACTGTTGCACTCTGGGCCCTTCCATTATCTCCTCTCAAGCATCCTTCCTTGAGGATCTCCTCTTGCAATACTGACCCTGTCTGGTCCCCGACGATCATGTCCCTTGCGCAATGAAGGAATGGCACGGTGGGTCAACCATCCTCGGGCAGCAGCCAGCTTCTGCTGGGAGCCACCATCACCCTGGGTCCACTTCTTCAGGTGTCAGGGGTGCCCTACAGCTAGATGCCCATGCCCATCCTCCAGGGCTCTGACAGTTTCCACATCGGCCTCTTCATTACGGACAGCAGGGTGCACCGCTACGTTCGTCATCTCCACTTGGGCTGCCTTCTCTCCCATTGGTTGGCATCAATCCACCTGGACTCTCATCTCCTCTTGACCATCATCTGTCTTTTCTTGGATAGCATCCATTTTGGCTTCCATCCTTTCTTGCACGGCCTTCATTTTGTCTAGCCAGGCATCCATCTTGCTTCAGTTCAACTGATCTTCAATCCAATTCCACTTCTGACACCAGCTGTCATGTGATTTCATGATTACAGACGGGTTCCAGATTTACTGGACTCTTGATACAGCACGTGACTACACTTTACAATTTATTACACACACACAATAGTGTCCACAGTCACGGTTTCACTAGCTGCTGCTTGGTAGGGGCTTCCAATGGCAGATGTTTCCCTTCCTCTGGGTTCAAAAACTGTCCCTGGCCTCAGCTACTAGCTTCTCACAATAATAGCTCACAATGACAGAATGCCAGCAGCCCTCTAACTCACTTTCTCTTCAACCAACTACTCTTTACCTCATCAACAAACTGAACAAACTCACTAACTCTCCTGCTTATAACAACTCGGAATGGCCCACGCAGAAAACACCATTCCTTTGCTGCTGTTCACGAGCCATTGCCTAGTAACGGCAGTTGTGTTTCACGGTTGTTGCTTAGCAACATGTCCATATGCCCCACTATGATACTTTGTAATGATTGGTAATGATCTGTATAATTCTCTCATGACAAAACCTCAAAAATGTTGAGGTCAAACACAAAGGGATTTAGGGTTCTCATGGAGGTGACTATTAAGATTACCATCTTCAGGGACGTTGCCTACCTTTCAGACTAATAGTGTCATATTCCAAAAGACAGTAAATCAACATCAAATATTATTCAATTTATTATTTTTCAAATCTTTTTAATATATAAGATTCATAATTCTATTATCAGTCACAGTAGTGTTGAATTTCTTACAATCACGCAGAAACACTTCTTACACATTTTCCACAGAACAATATTAGAGGTGAGAAGATCAGGGAAGGAAGAAGGAAAATATATAAAAGTCAATTCCTGAAAATAAATCAAGTAATTTCCTATCACTCTTAACATAAGGTAACTTCACCATGAAACTGTCTTAGACAATCAAATGTTGGACAGTAACTCAACTTCCACATGAAGTCCTATTTAATGGTTGTACAAAACTAGAATGTCTTTGAAATTTATGCATTTTAAACCTTGCTGGATGACAAGAAGCGATGTGATCTAATGTATGACATGAACAAAGCCTCAGCACTTACTGCAACTTCTTTCTATCTGATGTTCCTTAACAAAAATAAAGGTCATATCGTTTTTACTTAACATAAGATTTTTGTAATTGATTACACACAATCACTGCAAGAGAAAGAGAAATTTCCCAATCATCTCACTGCCAGGCACCTTTTTACTCTTGTCTCGAATTTTACCTTTCAGTTTTCTCAAACTCTTGTAGTCCTTCGAGAACCTTGGATAATCAAATTTCAACTTTGGCCTGCCTATCCTCTTCACAGGTAAAGTATTTATATCATCATTATCATAATGCACATGATTCTTAAGTTCACTCTCTATGTGCAATGTCAGGTACGTGTCCAAGTATGAATGTAACAATACTGGCAACAACTGTGAGACTAGAGTGCTGCATGTGCCATGTTGCCATGCTGCTTCCTCTTCAAGGAACTTGTCTTCTGTTCCAACTGATTCCAACAGTGCTTTCATTTCAAGAGATGTTGCCACATCTAGTGCACTCTTACCGTCTCGATTCTTGGCTCTCAACAAAAATGGTCCTAAAATGAAAAACAAGAGACAACCAAGAGTTGCAGTAACAACAAAGGAAGATTATTTATAATATTATAAATATTATATATTTATTATTATTTTAACATTTCACAGTGTATACATGCATTAAAATCTTCTAGGGCAGTAACTCATGTCAAAACAGAGTTAAAAGCCACTGCCATATCAACCCTGATGATGGAAGCATAGGAAGTCTTCAAAAGTTGGTAAAACATGAAGATAAAGTTGTCCTTGCACTCAATTATTAAGCACCAAGCCAAGAAGATACATGGGTAAGTGGAGGTACAGTTCCATGCAGTCTTAACCTCAGCACTAAATGCAGGTGAGTAATCACCTACACAGCACCACAAACTTTAGCCCTGGGGAAAGAGAGCCCCTGGTACCCACTGCACAAAAAGCTGGGTGTCCCTCAGCACCAGACACAATGCTGCGGTGAAGAGCAAAATTTCTTGCCAAGATTTCTCAAATGTTCAGCCTGTAACTCATCTAGTTTCTAACTTCTCTTTGATACAGCCAATCAGACAAGAACATTCCTGTGCATGTACTGTAATGTGTGACTGTAAATGAAATATACGGCTGGAAAGTGAGAACACATTTTGCCCCATCTTTGCAGGTATGATGACGTGTCAAAGGCAAAAATGACATTACTGGTTTTGAAAAGGGGAGAGCGAAATTTACCTCCATATTTAAGCAGTAATTTGCAGGATTCTAGCTGATTGGTCTGAACTGCATCAATTAGCGGTGTCGTGCCATCTTCACTTTGCACATGCACATCAGCTCTGCAGCGACCTGTCCATAAAGAAAGACAAATCCTTTGCACATAAATAGAATACAGTAAAACTTATGTAATCTGTTATCTAAATTATTTTTGGAGTCTTTTTTTTTTACTTTTTTCCCCCAAAATAATTCCTAGTATTACTGCATTCTGTCTCAATACCATGACACTTCTAAATTATAAGCCTCATTATTCTATTCATTAATTTAACAGTTACCGTTGTTGTCATGGCTTATTTAGTATTTTAGAGTTAAATGAAGATGGACAGCCATAAGAGATAATGTAAATAAAATCAACTACCTGGTGGAGGTTTGTATTCCAGCAATTCATAGACACAACTGACGGCACCATAATGAACTGCTTCATGCAGAGCTGTCCAACCAAAATTGTCCATAACATTGACGTCAACCTCAGGATCCTTTAAAAGCTCTTTCAGTTCATAGACTTTATTTCTTCGACACACACGATGAAGGATTGTTTCTCCTACAATTCAGAGGGATAAGGAAACATTAAATAAACCTCTAAAGACATATCCAACAAATAACACAAATCAAAGCGCATGGGTCCACATTTTCAGGACAGTATCTACTGCACTTACCTTTTTAACCTGCTCAGAAGTACATTAAATGGGTCAAGTTCCACCAAAGCTAGACAAGGTTAGAAAACATAATGCTAACATCACGTCTTCAATGTGGGAACAAAACAGCTGGCACTTTCAGCCATTCTGTTTGTTCCTATGTCAGCCAATCTGATGCTTGCAACCAGCATCATTACATGTCATAGTACAATGCCTGCTTGGGCTCCAACGGATGTTCCGAAACAGAATTTTCACATCTACCAGATGGTCCAAAAGTCTCCACACATAGAAAAAACTAACACTTTTTAACAAAATGTATCTAACTTTAATGTATAGAAATCATTTTGATGGCTGGATCAGGAAGTTGTCACAAGGTTGCAATGGACTTGGTAAGACCACCACACATTACACTGTCATCAAACTTACTGAGATGTTCACAAAGACGGGAAGCGTTAGAGACTCTGAAGTTTTCGTCCACACACATCAGCTGATGGAGGTACAACCAATGTGGTGCTGGGTGCAGTTGCATGGAGTCCCCAGAAAAGCACACGAAAGTTGGCTGCATAAAGCAGTGTCAACAGACTGAATACCATGCACATTTTGAAAAACCACAAATGGCATCCATACAAATGCAACTGTTGCAGCATTCCTGTGAAGACCCGAGAGACAGAGAAAATTCTGCAAATGGGCAATAAATAAACTGGGTGGCAGTGCAGCCTTCCCATCTGGGATTGTGTTTATGGATGAAGCCAATTCTTATGTTAATTCATTCATTTATTTTATTTGGCATTCATAATTGCTACAACAGTAACACCTGAACAAGACACATCATTCTTGAAATCCTTTTGCCCAAATGCCTAAAGGATTAGAATTTGTCAACAATAAATAATCACTCTTGACATGGTTAAACCTACAATTAAAATATAACACAACTACCAAACCAGACAAATAATCAAATTAGATACAATACATAAATCAAAATACAAGTTGATTTAAAAAAATGCCTATCTTACTAGTTTTGTTAACCTTATGAGTCAATCGAGAGAATTTTAAGAGTATTACAGTAAATCAAGAGCCCTACATGTGACCACGTCAATCACCAAGCACATTAAGATACAACATGCAATCACTATTAGGTGCCAAAACCTAGGTAATTGGAGTGATTTCAACCTGCACACTGGATGAGTCCAGCAAAGATGCAAAGTCCTGAAAGACTGAGGCTGTGGTGCAGAATATAGGGCAACAAAATTGTTGAACCTGTTCTTATTTCTTTGCCAAAAATCTTAAAGCTGAAATGGATCCAAACACGCTGCAAGACATGATCATGCCGTCCCTGCTAAATGAGGATGGAGAATTTCCGGCGTATAGCCAGCAAGACTGGGCACCACTTCAATACGGTATCCGTGTGCAGCGATGGTTGGATCTGGGTTACTAGACTGGCCACCATGACCCCACTTGGTGTTTCCTGTGGGAACACTTGAAAGCCGTGGTAGGACTTGAAACGTGACTCACGTAAAGGAACACATTTGAAAAGTAATTCTGCACATGATACCTGCTGTTATTAATGAGAGTTCACCATGAATGGGAGAGTCACAACAATATGTGTTTTCAAAGTAATAGCAACCATACAGAACATATTTAGTGAATAAAGTTACATTTGTTAAAAGTGTTAATTTTTGCTATGTATGGAGACTTTTGGACCATCCTGTATTATGGATCACTCACATCCTCACATATGAGTAAAGTTATTTAATTTAAGATTTGCATGGTAAAATTGAATTATACAAAATGAAACGAAATCTTATTAGCAAAACAGAAAAATCTGAAAATTCTACTGCAAAATTCAGACAAATAAGAGTAAGAAAGTTGCACCCTTGGTACAGTGCAACCCCAACCAACGTCACTCATTCAGGATTTAACACTCAATATCACTGCTTCCAGACCAATAACCTCAAAGATTAATAACTTCCATTTAACATTTTCTTCACATTAGTGTCCAAATTAAAGGGTCTCAAAAGAAACCTTAAATGGGGGTTTCCCTGGATATGAGAGATCTGAGTTTCTCATGAAACAGAAAACTAAGATTACAGTCCTTTTGTGACACTGCGACCTTGAAGATGAAGTCAGGACTCTCCTCAAAAATGCTGCTATCCCCTCACCACACTACCCAGCTTCACATTGCAGGAGGCAGTGATGTTCCTACACCACACCTGTAAGTTCTCAACTACATGTTATAAAGTAAAAGGTGAATCTTATCCTGTAACAGGCCATGGAGGCCCATAGCATCATGAGACACTGAGGCGGTGAGGTCAGCCTAACACGCCAGCCGCCCTTTACCCTGAGGGAGATTCCTGGTACTCATTTCTGTTACAGGCTGAGTCAACCCCAGGGCCATAGTGCAGCTGGAAAGATTTGGTCAAAACCAATGGCCTCATTGGGAATCAAACCCTTGACCCCTATATAAATGTACAGTACTGCTTGAGTTATCGGTCGCTGAATACCAAACACCAAAATCTGATCACCAGTAACGCAGTTTCAAGACAACTGATATTTCAAGTGTAGGCCCTTAATTCATGTACCATTTTCCTGAAGATCTTATCACTTATGAAGTTTCATTTTGGGATATGGGTTCCATATATTATTGAAATTCAATCAAAATCATTACAGCCATCTTCAAGAAAGTCACTTGTTTTGTGTTTTAGGGTCCATGCATGAGGCAAGCGTTTTATGAGCCGGAATGTTCACGTCTAGCGGGGACTCTGAACACTGAACACAAATCACATCCATTCACCTGTCCAGGTGCTAAAGACAGATGGCATTCCAGAAATCATTTCTCTGCACTCAAAGTGTAAGCCAATCAAACACTCCAGATCAACTCTTTCACGATCATAATGCTTTTCTCATATATACTGTGTATATGACAAAATAAAAAGTTGTTTTCCTTATGCTTAATTTGGCACCATGCCTTGAAGGTACATGGAGAAGTGAAGGTATAGTTCCATGCATTCATGACAATGCCAGGAGGAGGAGTGGGCTCAGTTTCACAAATCCGTGGCTTTATCCTTGTGGAAACAACCTTGATACCCATTAGGTGGAAGGCTGGAAGCAGTGGAGTGGAAATTTGTTCCTGCCTGGAAACAATCCCTGGTTCCTCAGTAATTCAGTCCACAGCCTAGTCACTGAGTTATTCTAGTTTGCTGATTCATTGTAGCTCTGAAGAAGGCACCCGCAGCTTCTAACAAAATTCATCTTGTCATGTAGTTGAAATGAAAAAGCATAAATCATATTCTGAAGTCTGCCTAACATTCTGATCGGGGAACAGAAGTGTGGGCATTACCTTTCTTGTCTCTCTTGTTGATGATTCCCTTCGTTTCAGTTACTTCACCGTTTGAAGTTGTTTTTACTTGCGGACTCAGCTGAAATACAAATAATATTTAGACTTATCCCATACTGCAATGAACAACATTTTTATGTAGAAACAGAAACCAGAGCCAACTGAAAAATTAATACCACTCAAAATTCTGTTATAGGAAAATTTCTGTATTTAATTAAATCATAAGTCATCAAACAATATTCAGTAAAATTCTGCATTTCCCTGAGCTAGTGTTACCTTCTGAGCTTCCATGTCGTGCGGCAGAAAGCATGTTGATATCAATCCAACCTGAAACAGTTAAAATACTTGAAAATAAATGTATAATGAATATATATATATATATATGTGTGTGTGTGTGTACACGCACACCTACTTATCCATTTCTCTGTCTATCCAGCCATGTGTCAAACACTACAGTAGCTTGACCAAGATAGAAAGACTGATATTTCCAAAGCCCAAGATGGCCATAAAAGTACATAATTCACTATCCTGGTTTTATCACTAAGTCACATGTTGACCAAAGTCCACAACTTTATTTAAAACTATTATACAGAGCACCGTGCACTATACGAAGCCATTTTTACTAGCCCTGTGAAATACTCGCGTCACATGATCATGGAGCGCATGCTTTGCTGTGCAGATGCAACCTTTTTCATTTCTTAAGCTAGAGGGCAGAAGAATGCAGCCATTGAAATGAATGATGCTTCATTGCATTCCCAATTGACGACTCTATGCACTCGCCAAGTTTGAGTTATATTGGTGCAAAGAAACCTGACATCTGAAACTCTAAATTTGCAATGTGGGTTTTGTCGATCGCAGCAAGGACGCCATGTTTTTCAGAGATCAACATATGTCGAACGCAGCAGTGTAAGGGTTGATCATCCCATTTCATTCTTGCAGCCCAACTGGACATATCACAAGATGTTTCTCCTCCACAATTCCACGTACATACCATGCCCCCCCTCACTATGGCCATCCAAACTTCGTGGGCCTCACCACCCAAACTACACTAGACAACCCATAAACAAAAAAGTTACTTGTTTCATAATAAACCAAACAACCCATTTCATCTTTAGTAAGCTCAAATATTTTCTTGAGGGCCATGTCTTCATACATATTTACATTTTTCCTTCACAGTAATACTAACTCCATGCAGCACACCCCTTCCACAGAAGCTGACAGTAGCTCAGCTAATCACAAAATCCTCCAACTCTTATAAAACCGAAAGATTCATTATCCTATTCATAGAAGCCTGTCTTAACTAACTGCATGATGGAGAGTCCTTCTTGGGAAGCTAGTTAGTTAGTTATTGGAGAGGGTGGGTTTCCCCATGCACTTAGACCAGTATTGGTCCATTGTGCTTCCCTCTATGATATTCTACCAGTCTCTATACCCTACCGATACTGGTGCATACCATCAGTCCTGACCGAGCCAGCGAGTTTGGCCTCTACTGGCTTAGCGGTATCTATAATGCTTCCCCCATCTATCAGAGGTGTTGGAGACTACTGTTGGGCGGGAAATGTCCTTGAATTTGGCTCAGTGACCTCCTTTGGAGATATGAGGTTCTTTTACATGCCGTAAAGCTACGACACGGGACCCACGGCTTAAAGTCCCTCCCGGAGGACTTTTTCCCTGAATTTTTCCACCCTCAAAAATTCCACGACCTCCGCCGGGGTTTGAACCCGCGTACCACGAGTCATGAGGTGGGAACGTTACCTCTAGACTACGGAGGCCGCTCTTGGGAAGCTAACAGTCACTCAGCTGCTCAAGAAATTTCCAACTTTCACAAAGCCCAGTGGTTCTATCTGTATTCACAAGAGCCCATCACCGGTTCCCATCCCAAACCAAATTAACAGAGTTTACAGCCTTCCAGACTATTTCTATGACATCAATTTTAACATTATCCTTCCATCTATGTCTAGGCTTTCCAAGTGGTCTCTTCCTTCAAGGTTAGATATCACATTTCACAACCATACAAAACCATTGGGGAAACTCAACTGTTCGGTATATCCCGATCTTTGGAAAAATCTAAAATTGCAGTGTGATTTACCGCATTTTTCTTTTTTTTTCTCAAGCAGTGCATGACATGTACTTGTACTTACAACTGTGTTCAAAGAGGGGTCTGTTTCATATCCAACGGCATTACTGAGAAGAAAATTGGTGACATAAAGTGTGAGAAATGATGGTCTCATCTCACTGAGAACTCGAACCAATTCCTCTGGGTTCATGCCTAAAAATACAAGAATATGTAAGTCGACAGAAATGTACTGTCATACTAAGCATGTTCCAACTGAGAAAGACTGGGTACGTAGCATCGTACATACAAAAAACAGCTGACAAGAAATGTATTCAGTTCACAAGACTGCAACACATGCACTCCCTAATACAGTTCACCAATATCCCAACAGGGTCAGGCGTACTTGTAATTCCTCTCTCCATTCATTGTTTCGCGGAAAGTACGCTTCAGTAAAGGTCAATATGGCTGGAAGTCAGAAGTGCCTGACAACCTTAGATAAGCCTCCCACTTCAAATTATAAAAAATATTCCAGTGCAAAATGCAACAAGGCTAGATCACAGACATCACCTCCATCTACAGAACTTTATGCAATGTCACTGCACAAGTAAATCCAAACAAAGTCATTTGGATGAGAGGATGACATACCCAAGTAAGATATTCAGATTTTTACTAAATTTAAACTTTATCAACTTTAATTGAAGTCCATTTATTTTAAGTTAAGAAATACTGCATTCATATGTGATATAAGAAGTTGGACATACCATTCAGTGCAAACGTTTTTGTGAATTTGACACCTGATGATGGACCTGTACAGCCAAAACATGTTGTGAGAAGGAAAGGGGCCAATAAAAAGTTGCACTGTAGATGGAAATATATTGTATGAAATAAACGTAAAGGAGTCTAACAAATGAAGTATCATGGATATGACTGTGATGAGTTTTTAACACTTAAAGGCAGAGGAATGTACTTCCATGTAAGATATGTGAACTTGTCAATGAAAAGTGGTGATTCATTGACATGAAATTAATCGGACAGATGTGACAATCATAAAAGAAGTCAGCTGTCCTGCTCTGAGCACTTGTCGCTTGCATCTCCTGATACTGCACCATGCAGTGAGCTTTCTTTAAGATGACAGCTTCTGTAAATTCCTGATGGAAGTCTGCAGTTGCTCTGTAATGAAGCAAACTAAAGACTCAAAGCAAATGAAGTACCTGACAAACACTGGCTCACTTCTCGAGCCAGAGTCTTGCACTGCTCACCAAAGTAGGGATACAGCAACTCGTCATTCCTCTCACTCGCCCTGACAGTTTCAGCTACAAGGGTCAGAAGTCTCTGAGAACAGAACAGGAAAATCCTTTCAATGGCTGGACAGAGGTGAGTCTAGAGCCAGTGCTCAAGTCTTGTACTGAATCCTGGCTAGGACACCACTTATTGCGAGTGAGGGTTCTTATGGCTTTTCCTCAGTCCCTCCAGGCAAATCCTGGGATAGTAGCTCAATTAGGCCATGACTGTTAACCCTCAAATACTTTGAAATTCATCACTCATCAATTATCCTACCGTCTGATGCTGCATGTTCTAGATAAAGAGAGGGTCATTAAACAACAAACAAACAAGAAAAGTCATGGCTGCAATTAGTGCGGACTCCAATCACAGTGCAATCTGTGCACAAAATAATATGAACTGTGAAGCACCTTAGGATCAATGCCAGTAAGCCCAGAAGGGTCCGTATGCTTCAGATGGTATGGCCTAAGTAAAGCTGTACCCGTGTTTAATTAACCTGGCTACCAGATTATCAAAAATGTTTCAACCCCACACAGAGACTATGATGTTCACAACCAATTGTACTTACTGCTATAACAGTCCACTTGTTAAAACTGATATTATGGACAAAGCACTTTGCATATAAAGAAATGATACATCTGCAAATGCCATTCAGACGTCCAATTCCCTGCACTGTATTGGTTCTCCACAGTACCGACACTATCAGAGGCCTGTAAGAGCGATGAATCAATGCCTTTCGTAGCTGAAAGCTATGTTTCACGAGAAAAACAGAGAGATCAATTTCTAACAGTTCCACTATAACCTCCAAAACTATGAAAAGACGATTCAGTTTCTCATCGTGACTCAGAGTTGCGTAATTCTTGTTGGCCTCGGCTCTTTCTTCAGCAGAAACATCCAGAAGTTCTTCTGTTGCAGTGTTCAGAGTTACTAACGGATCTTCACAGACAGCTGAACTGTCGCAAGGCAAGTCTTCGTTTTTCAAATCTTTGAACGTTATCATATCATTCAACTCATATATAATACCATCCACAATTCCACTGTCTGACAGGCAAGGTGTGTTCTGTGAAGGAAATTAAGCTACATGTAAATTCTTTAAACAATATATCTGTTTAATACTTACAGAAATCACTTGAGAATGAGAATTTAAATTTGTTGTATGTTCATAAACATGACAATCTATTCTGCCACACCAAACACTGATCCTTTTTCTTCACAGTAAATGTAAACTGGATGATCTGAGAAAAACATAACATCAGAGTTTGTTTCTGACACTGAACTTGACTGAATTTATTCTGATTATTTACAGTTTCAGTTCAAAGAATTTGTCTTTCTGTTTCTGCTTTGAGTCCGTTACTTTTTGTTCAGGAGTCAGGTCATGATGTACAACACGAGCATCAAGATTATATCTCTCAATTGACCATGAACATTTCTCACAATTTCTTTATAAATTCAGTGCCTGACACAGTTTCACTTATCAGCCACAATAAATGTCTTTTAGACAGAATTTTGCAAACCAGTGCACCTGCATTACTGCAACACATACACATACAGACACAAAACAGCTGACCCACAGTACTACCACTAGAAGACTGTTAGCTTGTAATGAAATGATCAATTTCGTATTTCAAAACAAAATGATTCAGCATCTACACAGGCCAAGCAAAAAGGTCCCATGGAGAGTGGGGATAAAGGTGGCTAAGGATTCCACATTAGTCCATTCTTTACTCCACTCCAGCCCCTGTTTCCTATGCCAGCGAGTCCAAAGCACTGCTGCTGGTGAACTGTTAGTACTACCAAATGGAAAAAACAGGGAAGTGCAACAGATGCAGGGAGATGTGCAGTAGGTCAATACATGGAACTTCATCCACTGCCTCAGCATTCTAACAGTACTCAAATAGTTCTTACGAAAGTGTAAAATATTTTGAGTTATTAGGCATTTTAATTTTTTAATATGGAAAGCGAGTTTTCAGTAAGTCTGAAAATGAATAAATGACAGATTTTATTTCTCAGAACATTACCGTAAGAGGCAGCTCACCTCTATGAGAGTGCTTGTTAAGACTGTCGTGTAATACCGCAGCATGTCTGGAGCACATGGAGGGTGTAAATCAACAATCTTCTTGAATGCTGATACAGCTGATCCAATCAAGCAAATTTCGTGTGTATTCTGTGAACAAAAACATCCGATCCCCTACAAAGTAACTGTTCTATATAAAATTACAAAATAAACTTAATACTTGCAGTAGTTTGCAACGAGAGGAATGCATATAGGATATTGGTAGGAAAGCCAGAATGAAAGAGACCACTGGGAAGACCAAGATGTAGGTGGGTGGACAATATTAGAATGGATCTTAGAGAGATAGAATGGGATGGTATGGATTGGATAGATCTGACTCAGGATAGGGACCAGTGGAGGGCTCTTGTGAACACGGTGATGAACCTTCGGGTTCCATAAAATGCTGGGAAATTCTTGAGTAGCTGCAGAATTGGTGGCTCCTCCAGAAGGGCTCAGCTCCATGAGTAAGTAAGTAAGTTTGCAAAGTAACATTTCTCATGGCCAAGCACTACTGCTTAGTGACTGAGAAGTCCTGGATTCATATCTTGGCTTGAAGATCAGCTCACTTCACTGAGATGCTGCCAGTTTCCATTCACTTCCCCAGATTAGTGCCTCTCCAACTTAATTATTCACTCATCATCTCCTATTCAGCACTATGCAGTCCGTGCTACTGACAGCATCATTAAATAAACATTTCCTATGAAGCTGACAAGGTGCAAACAATAAAATAAACACAACAGCAAAAGAACAAGGAAAGAGAGACAAAGTTAAAGCCATTATGATGATGGCAGTTTCCACACATTTATACAGACATGAAACTTGAGCACAAAAAAAAGAAAGAAAAAGAAAGAAAAAAAAACTGTGGTTTTAGTCCGCAAGCAAACTATACCAAATGTGTAACCACTGCTTGTCGGCGAAGTTAGTGCCAACTTTAGCAGACAGAGGGTTTCGCGTGGTCAGCGCAATGAATCCCCACTGATGTTAATTTCAGTTTTCTAGACTGGAGCCACTAGTTCCTAGAAATAGCTCCTCAGTTATCTTCATGAGGCTGAGTGGACCCTGTTCCACACCCACTGCTTCTCAGAACATCTTGTAGTGCCGGGAATCGAACCCAGACCTCTGGATCTGTAGCCAGGAACTCTTGACCACTAAACCACTAAACACTTTTTTGGACCGCCTCGGTCCAAAAAAGTGTTAGTAAAATCCGAGTAACAGAAATGCAACCTTATGCAAACGCCGAAGAATGTACCAGCCTAAACAAACTTAAAAACAAAGCTTGAGAGAATACAAATATTTTTTTTTTCGGTAAGTGGGAACACATGAGATTTGAGATTCTCACAGTGGCGACTGTTGGTATTAAGGTATTCTGAGATGTGATCCCATGCAGTACACTGGATAGATATGTGCCAATGATGTGAAGGGACCTGATACGTTCATCTTCAGGGTAGCAGATGGAGGGTGCAGGTTCCTTTGAAATACTACCAAAACCACATGGTGCCAAGTCTGAAAGAAAACCACAATCTTCATGGGAAAAGAGATGATTACAGAGGAAATTAGTTACTCTTTATGAATCAAATCTGCATCAACAAGCTCCAGAAGCTTCAATTTCGTCAGAAACACACAGACACGGACACAGAGGGATGGTTACGAAAGCAGAATGGAGCTGAACCTAATCCATGGGAAGCAGAAGAAACAAGAAAGTCCAGTTGTGCAATTAGAATTCAGTTAATTTCTGCTATCAATAATACTCACAAGTATAAAGACCAAGATACGTAAAACTGTTGAAGCACTAGGAAAACTTCTCTCAGAAGTAACAGAGCAACAGAAGTGGAAGGCACAGGACCACTGTCTGGCATTCATTAGGGCTTCCATTATCTGAGACCTTGCATCACACACCTCAGATGGTTTCCACTGTAACAAATGTATATTTTTAGACATGTACAGGGTGGGCCAGACTCAATTAGGCAGTTTTTGATCATTAATAACCAACCAACCAACCAACCAACAACACATGGGATAATGGGAAAGTACCTTTTGTTGTCGATAGATGGCAGCATCATACGGTATGCTGTGAACGAGGTCAATACTCTGCCTACTTAGTGCACATCGAGAAAATGTCATGGCCGGTAGACGGTTGTCTATCTAGCAGCGTGTAAAATGTGTGCGCCTTTTCTCAGTTACTAACAATGTATCAGAAGTCCAGCGCAGGATGTTGGAAGAGTTTGGACCGCCAGCAGTCCACAGGGACACAATCGTCTGAATAAACAAGCAGTTTGATGAAACTGCCAGTGCTTTGAATCCCAAGCATCCTGGTCAGCCGAGAACTATCAGAACTGCTGACACACAAGCACGTGTTGCTGCGGAACTGGCATCATCTCCTCAGAAATCGAAGTCTACCTGCCGTTTGTTGGTCCTACTGGACATTTTGAGGACAAGTTTGCGGAAAGTTTTGAGTGACATGAAGCTGACGCCATACCATCCATGGCTTATTCATGTTCTTAACGAGGACGACTTCGACAGGTGACTTGAGTTCGCCGAGTTGATGCTGACCAAGTTTCAGGAGAACCCTAACCTTATCCAGAATACTGTCTGGACTGATGAGGCCAAATTTCACACATCAGGATCGGTCAAAAGACACAACTGCGTGTTTTGGCGGCCAGAGAACCCCAGTGCCACCACTGAATACGATTTTCAGTCCCCAGTAGTGATGGTGTGGGGCGGCGTGACGTACGAAGGACTGATTGGCCCGTTCTTCCTTGAAGGTTGCGTCACGGGGGAAACCTACCTAAAGTTGCTGAGGGAAAGTGTCATCCCAGAACTTCAGAGGAGAGAGAACTTTGATGAACTGTGGTGGCAGCAAGATGGGGCCCCACCACACTTTGCCAATATTGTTCAGACGTTTTTGCATCAAGTTTTCCTCAACGCTGGATTGGCCATCGAGGGCCTGTGGAGTGGCCAGCCCGATCACCCGACATCACCCCACCAGACTTTTTCCTTTGGGGTTACCTCAAAGACAAGGTGTACGCTAATCCCATTGACAGTGTGAAACATCTGCATGAGGTGATTGTTCAGGAGTTCAATAAAGTTCCGGTGAATATGTGTAGAAAGGCGTGTGAAAATGTTGCATTGCGTCTGCAAGCCTGTGTTGACTTAGGTGGTGCCCAGGTTGACCAGCATCTTGAAAATCAATGACTTATGTGTGTGCGATTCCATTTTTGTAACCATTGCAATTGTTAACATTTATCAATAAAAATAACATCTAATCAAAAAATGCCTAATTGAGTCTGGCCCACCCTGTAGTAGTGCTAAGTGAAGAGGTATGCGTATAGAATATTTGTGGGAAAGCCAGAAACAGAGACGACTAGGATGACCAGGACGAAGACGTAGGTGGGTAGACAATGTTAAATAAAATGGATCTTATCCTTACGAAACATATTCCTAATGTCTTTTATATTGTTGCATTATTGATGGATACTTTGATAACAAGGGTGATGCCTCAATACAATGGGATACTAAAATATAATATAAATGGATCTTAGATAGGATGGGGTAGTATGGGCTGGATAAATCTGGCTCAGGATAGGGACTAGTGGAGGGCTCTTCTGAACATGGTATTTGGGTTCCATAAAATGCTGGGGAAGTTCTTGAGTGGCTGCACAATTGGCGGCTTCTCAAGAAGGGCTCAGCTTCATGAAGTTAGTCGGTTAGTAAGTTAGTAGGGCTAAGTAACGCCAAAAGTCTGTGGACAGAAGAGATGCAATTTACACAGACAAATTTAAAAAATGTTTGAAGCTGCTGCTGCTGCTGATGATGATCACTGCTCCTGCTGCATTTGTTATCAGTAGTGTTCAGTCTTCACCACTTGTATGGAGCTACTGTATGTTGTATTCCAAATGCTGTGAGGTGTATTTATATGTAGTCAGAAGGAAAATTTCAAAAAGCTTCACAGTGTTTAATGTTTTCTACTGAGTGAATTATCAAAAGAAACATTAAAGAAAAGTCTACGCAGATGTGCCTTTTTATAGCACTCTGTATTTTGAACACCACTTGGCAGAAATTTAAAAGAAGCTATGCAAAGATGTTTGGCTCTGTAACCATCAATATGCATACCAAACACAAGCATAACACAAGCGAAAGTTACACACATGGCAAACAGTCAACTGCAAGAATATTTGTCAAGTAGCCTTCCAGGCTGATATGCAGGTACACAAGGTTAGGTTCTTCCTCCATTACTTTTCATTTTACATGTAAATGATGTACCACATCTAACACAAGGCAGAACAATAATGTACGCTGATGATACATATGAATATAGGACAAGACATAAATACACTACAAAAGCAACCTCACAAAATACAGGCTTAGCAGATCAATATTCTGAAACAGATAATGTATGTATAAATCCAAACAAAACACACTACATTCTCTTCCAGCCTAAGCAATGCAGGCAGTAATATAACGAACAGGGAAATATTTAATGTAAGAAGTACTAATTTCTTTGGGGGTTATAACTGCCAACCTCAGCTGGGAAGTACATACTGAAAGAACCTGTAGCAGAGATATGAATGTAAGAACACTGTATTACAGTTTGATCTATCACCTTCTGGCATATGGAATCACTGTATGGGGACAGAGTGCGAAGGCACTCACTAGACGAATATTTACCCAACAGAAAGGCTGTATGGTACACAGTGGGGTTAGAAGAGTGGGATCCAGGCCGAGAGAGTTTTCGGCAAATAACAATGATTAAGAGTATACTTGCTATACATTCAATAAACAAAAGAACTGTAATTACGCTGTAAATATACAAGTATATACATATAACACAAGAAATAATCGCTATCATAGGCTTGTACATAATCGAAAACTCTTTAACAGAAAACAATCAGTAGGAGGTTGCATCTTCTATAACAAATTGCCTAACAACATAAGACAAATAGGTGACAACAACAAGTTTAAATAGGAACTGAAGGCCCCACATATTAAAGGATTCCATAGTTCAGTAGATAGTATCTGAATGAATAATTCTGTAATATTGACTACTGATAGGCAGATGTATAAAATAAGCTATATTTTCAATAAATTTATATCATAATCATTAGTGTATTTCGATAATAATATAGATGGACATGTCCTATATCACTGTATTTTGATTTTCAGGATAAAATACAAAATTAATGAACTAACTTCCTGATGTGTTTCTGTGGAATGAGCGCTCTCTCTTTACAAATGATTTCTCTTTCTACTCAAGGGACTGCTTCTTGCTCCTGGTACCTGCCAATCTGTTTGTTCCTCTAGAGCATGGTCTGGTTTATGGTGCAAGTATTATGTTTTTGGACATTATCCATCGTCTTGTCCATTTTCTAAAAACCATCCTGTTTCTTTTTTTTTAACACATTTCGCACACTGGATTCTGTCCCCGTCCTCAGGTAAAACCTACTCAGTTGGGTCCAATAGACAGAGCTAGCCCCTATCCCCAGTGGTCCAGGTTTTAGAATATGGACAATACAACGGCTAATTAATTACTATAGGATTCTGACGATGGTGTATAACACAGAGATACTGGTTTTTCGGACTTTATCCATCGTCCTGGTTTTAAGATAACTAAGAAAATCACTGGACTGAGGCTAGCTCTTTCTAAGGGACCTAACAGAATAGGTGTTTTCCCTCACCTGAGGACGGAAACAGATCCAGTTTCTGAAACGTCATGTTTTTCTTAGTTATCTTAAAACCAGGACGATGGATAAAGTCCGAAAACCAAGTATCTCCACAATGGATAATGTCCGAAAACAATACTTGTAGCAATATACCATTGTCATAGACTTTTAGATCTTAACTGGTTTATGTTGGCTTATGGCAGACTTCACAAATACATGTATCCAGTTCCCCTTTCCCGTTACAATCTCTATTTTATAATACAAGGCTGCTGCAACTCAACTGTGAAACACCTACACGTTAAGAGAGGATGTGAGGAAGAAGGATATGTATTGTCACGGCTGACAGGACGTCATTAAGAACTGACTGTAACTGCAAGAAGGCATATACTTCGTTTGTGCTAGAGCCCCATGCCTATCACTTTCTCTACGAGACTTATGGAGGTGATCATACATGAAAATGTTTGTGGGTGGTTGAATAAATGGGAGGAAATTCCCAAAGCCCATTTCTAAAATATTATCCTAGCAAAAATGCATGTTATTTGAAATCATAAAATTCAAAATGTTGTACATTTTACCACTAACCAGAGAACTCTTGTGCTGCTGCGTGCAGGAATACGAGTACTGGCAGCAGAAAGGGACCCATCTCAGCTCCAAGCGTGCTGCTGCCCTATCGTGGTGATCATACATCACTGTCTGATATGATGCAATGATTTGATCACATTTCACTGGTCCTCCAACTTTGCCATCTCCTGCTGAGGTGCTCGTGCTTGGATATTTATCATAACTTCTGCTAGTACCAATGCGATTCTGAGCATTAATTTTACTTGTATTCTGAGAAGCGCCTCCCTCGTTCAGGTTAACTGCATCTGTACTGTCACTAACTGCATGACTGGCGATCATGGCCATCTCACCAGATGATCCTTCTTCAGCAAGAACCACCAATTTCCTATCCTGGTCACCAATAACACATCCCTTATCAGGTGCACTTAAAATTGCAAGATCCCTCTCAGGCTTGTCAACAATTACATTTCCCCTAACAGAGTTATTAACAACTGAAGGTTCTGTAACAGGGCTGTCAATATTCATCAGTCCTTTATCAGACATATCTACAACCACTGATTCTATAATAGACCTATCAACAGCTGTGGGTTCTCTATCCAGTATATCTGTGAAAACAGATTCTTTACCAAATTCACAAGTAACCTCTAGTTTCTCGCCACAAACACCAACAACTACTGGATCCCTAACATTCTCTTTGGCAATTAATAGTTGTTCTGTAGCACCTGGTTTCCTGTAACTACAAACAAATGCATGCTCATTGCGAGGACTGTTATCAATCACCAGTTCCTTGCCAGGAATGCTACAACCAATCAGTGATTTCTCGTCTGAGTTGGTACTAAGAACACGGTCCCTTTTTACACAGTTGACACTAACTGAGTCCATACTGCCAATCACTAATTTACTGTTAACTATCGAATCGCCATCAGAGCCAGTGACAACCAATGGTTTACTATCATCACAGTTGCTTGAAACTTCTGGTTCACTCAAGTCACTGACAAATACTGGCTCACTGTCAGGACCACTGGCAGTTTCTACTTCAGCAGTAGGGCTGCCAAAAATGGCTGAATTACAGGTGAGGCTCTTAATAGTTGCTGGCTCATCACTGCAGCTACTGCCAACTTGTTCCTGACCAGGAACATCAAAAGGCACTGGTTTCTTAACATTAACCATGTGCAGACCAGGGCTGTCCACTAATTCTTTTCTTTTACAAGTAAAATGCATGTTCCCTTGAGCTGATGCCTTTGTACAACACACATTCTGAGTATCAGAATGATGAGCCCTCTTTGTGTCACTTTGGTCTGAGGAAATGCATGTATATGTTTTAATTTCTGTGGATTCAATATCATATAAATCGTAACTATCAAGATCATAAATGTTTGGACTTCCAACACCTTCCCTCTCTTCAGTAAGACTTTCAGCATCACTTTCATCTGTTATAACAACAACAGGGTCACCATCATTGCTATCATCATCAGACGATATCTCTATGACACAATCTCCAACAAATTTGCCTCCAGCTACATGGGGTTGCAGAGATTTTCCCTTCTTCAGTTCTTGCACGTCTTCTGCAAAACGCATGTTCGCTTGAGCTGATGTCTTTGTACCACACATTGTATTAGGATGATGGGCCCTTTTTGTGTGATTTCCATCTGAGAGAATAGCTACAAATGTTGTAACTTTTGTGGATTCAGTATCATGTAAATCACAACAATCAAGGTCATAAACATTACCATCCCACTTTTCATTAAGACTTTTGGCAGCATCACACTCATCTGATACAACAACTGGGTCATCATCATCATCATCATCATCATCATCATCATCATCAGACACCACTATGACAGAATCTACAACATACTCTCCTCCAGGTACATGGTGTTCCACAGTTTTTCCACCAGAATTGTGACTCCTGCAGTTTTTAAAGCAGTCAGCTCCATCAGAATTTTGTGAAATGTGAGCAACAGATTCAAAAGTATTTTCATGCAAACAAGAAGATTTTGAATTACCTACATCAAAATGTTCTACTTCTTTTCTCATAAAATATTTATCAATTTTATTATGCTGTGGAGTACCAAATTTCCTTTTAAACAATGTTGAAAAATTCAATCCTTGTTGGGGTGGCAGAACTGGTGATCTTAGCTTCTTAATACTTTGTGGAGAATCCTGCGATAGTTTCCTTTTGGTTAACACTTGTGTCTTGTCAGGGGTACGTAACAGAGTACTGCCTGCAGTACTGGTTACAGCTGACAGAGAACCATTCCTATTATCACGACTCCTCTTGTTCTGCTGTCCAAAAATATCTGAATTCACACCTGAATTCATGGAAGATATTGTATTTTCTCTCACAACACTTTGCCACTTAAAGAGGAATACTTTAACTTATGTACTGTAAAATTAGAAGATTTTACTTTATACTTGTCATTTTCACTGACTGTGGACCTTACCAATGAATTGGTTTTATCATCACTCAAGCTCGACTTCTATGTCTGGAGTTGCACACTGGATGCCCATTCACAGAGTCCATAATATTCCTTCCAGAACTTAGATCTGAGTGTGGAACTTTAATTTCCTCTTTACTGGCAGACGAGTGAGTGACTCTCACTGGCTGTGGACTTACTGTAGCAATCTTGATAAATATGAAGATGGATGATCAATCCTATTGAAATTTCCATCATTCCTAACACAATAACTTTCTTTTGGAAGGTTAGAAAGTTGTCCTAGCTGAACACCACCTGATGTCCTCCATTCTGATAAAGCACCATTAAATCTAATGGGACCAGCTTCACTATCAACACTGCTGAGCAATAAAGGAAAACTTAGAGTAAAGCTGTCCCTCGAAGGGCTTGCTGGGTGATGAACACACGGCTTGCAACACAGTGTTTGTGTCTTGGTTTGTTACAAATGTCTACAAGTTGTCAAGGTTACCACATGAACTTATTAAATGTGGACTGCAATTTTCATCATTCTGCCATAAAGTTGACTCTGAAAGGAGAAAAAAATACAATGTGTCATGGTTTATTTCACATTGCTGTCCATATATAGAGCGCAGAGTGACAAATAATAGCAGGGTAACTCATGAATTGGAGAATATGTGGCATGCAGTGGTCATGGCATAATCAAGATACAAACCAAACACTTCACTGCAGGGAATGAAGAAAACCATAGAATATCTCGGTTGGGACAGCCAGTATCAAATCCAGATTCAAATCTAACACCTCCAAGAGTACAAGTTAAAGAGTGTCATGCCAACCTTCTCGCTGGTATGAGAAGCACTGAACTTCTAGCAAAATAAGGGGCAATCACCTCAAGAGATCATGATCAGCAACCAATCAAATTCTGTGAAATCATACAGCTGAATAATGCACAACTGAGCAGACCAGAACATTACTTATTTTCTGTTTCATTTCAATACACAGACAACTGGATCCCTGAGAGCATGTACATATCTCTACCTAAACAGAAACATCCTGTTTTAATTTCTGCCATGACAGGAAACAGAAGGAAGTAAACAATCATTTCTCACTGGATACTATCAACATAAAAGCAGTCATTACCTTCTGAAATGCAACTGTAATCCATTTGGAATTTTATAACTAATGTCTGGAACGTGGCATTGATGGGAGAATATTAAAATTCCTCATACAGAAAGAAGCTAGCTGAAAATGTGGGCGTGAGTACTCTGGCTCAAGAAAGGAACTGTGGCGAACTCCTATGAATACAGCCTCAAACCTTCAGGTTACATAAGGCAAGAAATATGTTGACCAGCTGAGCAACTGGCTTCTCATGAAGGACTCTGCTCCATGTATCTATACACCTTCAAAATACAGACCCAATGGCACTTGTGATGTTCTTATTATTAAGTGCAACAATAATTACAATAACTAATGGAATTAATTTTATTGTACTGTGTTGAAACATTAATGTAATGAAATAATACTGGTAGTTAATTGGTGAATTTTGCTGTCACATTAAAAACCTGACCAAACATTAACTTTCAACAAAGACTGAACTGTTGCAGGGTTTCAAATCTGATCAGTCGTATGCCCATTCGATAAATGATACAAATTCCGTCCTAAGTGCAAACAATATATATTATATGTCCTTGATCTTGTTCTTTCTACACTACATGTTTCGGCCTCTATCGACCATCATCAGGTGTATATTCTTAACGTTGCTGCCACACTGAACCCAGTCTAAAATTTAACGTTTAAAAACACAATGTCACATTCTTCGTATTATCAACATCTACATCGTTGATATGTGTCTGGTATGTAGATTATGTTGCACACGTCAAATTTGATATTCTTGTAGTAGCATTCTAAAAATCTTTAGTTATGATGTTTTAAACCTTTTAAAATTTTTCACTAAATTTTAAATTTAAAATTTAAAATTCTTAGGGTTACTCGCCCTATGTCTAAGTGCTGGAGCGGCTAGTTCTTGTTTTCACACTGTACAGGTGTTATCTGTAATATACAAATATTCGTATTATTATTTTATGTACGTAATACTTTCTTATGTGTGTATATTGTTATTTGTACTTACTTAATGTAGTCTTCTTGTGTGGGTGCCGCTGCTTGTCTGTACTACGTGTGCTGTCTGCTGTATTGTGTGCTGTGTTTTATGTTAGTGAGTGTAGGGGGGAATGGGTAGTGGGGAGAGAGAGGTACCGTTAGTCTGTGTAGATTTCGTGTATCGTTTGAAATATGGGATTGTGTGTTTCTATGTGTGTATCATTCATGTGTAAGCCTTTCTTACTTATTTTATATATATGGTATTTCTCTAATGTATTTAAATGTCTGCCCTTCTTTCCCGTTGTTACAACT